AAATTCAATACATAGATAATGTAGAGGAATGGAAGGAAATAAGAAGAGCAAAAAAAACCCGCAAATTTACTTTCACTATCAGTTAATATTGTCAGATGAATCACTCCTGAGAACAAAACAGGTTCATAATTTTCAAAAACCAGGCCAAACCTGTCTTCATGATTCAAAATACGTAAAAATCAATTCAATAGGCAGGGGATTGATAAATTAATAAATAAATACATTAGAGAAAATTGATAATTGCAGACACAAGGCTAAAGGAAGATTGAAAAATAAATAAATTTAACATCATGTTGAGCAGACAAATTCCAAACATAATAACACATATAATGGTAGAGAAAGAGCTTACAATCGCATCAGAAACAAAGAATGAAAATGGTTTGAGTTAGATGATGATCACCTCAACCTCAATTGAAAATAAGAAGAACGATGGAAACTTGAATCTAGCGGATGTTAACATGCAAAATACAATGTCGAATAAGATCTGAAAGGGAAGAAGCAGCCAACTCCCAATTTTGCAGAAATAGAAGCAAATATGTTCAGTAGAGTGGAGTCGTGAAATAACGAGGAGGACAAGGACAGGACGGGGACGATGGAATGATGGAAGAATGAAATTTGCGAAGATGAAAGCCGAAAGCGGAGAAGTGGATTTTAGAATTAGGGTTGTTCTTTATGATTTTAATGCATCGCATTAAATACGAGCCGACTTATGATGTTTGATGTTTGGATTGACTTTTTGTAAAGTATTTAATTATATTATATTTTAATTATTAAATTATATATTATATTTTAATTTTAATTTTAAGAGATATAATTGATATATTAAATTTTATAAATAAAAATTTAATTATAAAGTAGATAATTTAATTTTTAAATATAATTTATAAAGTTTTAACATAATTTATAAAGTAATTTAAAATTTCTGTAAAGTTAATTATACTTTTTATTTTTATTTATAATTAAATTAAAATTAAACATATAATTTATACGTAAAATTTAATAAATATGTTTTCAATTGTGGTAGGTAATATAAAATTTTTAAATATAATTTATAAAATAAATTAGAAAAGTTTAATGAATATATATATATTTATATAACTAAGTCATATTTGGTAATTTTAAGTTTTAATAGCGCTTTTAATTTTATTGTACCCAAACAATTTTTTATAGAAATTTATTTTTATAATAATTTATCAAAATATAAAATTGAATTGTTTATGATTTTTTATTTATTTTTTAAGTCAATCCAAACGGGTAATTAGCCTTCTAATTAAAAAATTTTAGTAATAATAATTTTTTTTTGATCAAAATTGATTGGTGTCATAAACTTTGAAAGCAACAATTGATGTGACGCTAATGTGGACTTAAGTTAATTTGGATGTTTGTTTTTATTTCTTTTTTGCTTTTCTTTTTATTTTTTGTCAAAAATCAGAAATTATAATTTTTTTAGTTTTCAATAAATATACATTAGTCAAAATTCAATGTTCGCTGTAAATAAAAAATAAAAAAATTCAAACCAAGCATCAGACTAAGTATTCATCTAGCAAAATTTTACAATAATTTGTTCAACATTTCATTTTCTTCTTACTTTGCAAAGTCTGAATTCACACGAAGGAGATTCAATTTTTACCAAAAACAAATTTGAATGAAGTAAGAAATTAAAAAGAAAAATTCCAAAAAATATATATATATATATATAATCAAGACAAATTTACATGGGAAAATCGTGTTGTTCGAACAATCCAGTCAAAGCTACGCCGCACTAGGAGAAGTGATCTGGTAATGGAGGATAGAAGAGGAATGAGCAATTGCAACAACGCTGCCACAGTCGGGAATACTGAGATTTCGGGACTAGCTCGCTCTAGAGAGTTTGCGTAGAAGAAGATCAAACTTCCGTCTTCCAAAATGAGCACGGCCGCCACTTGTTGCGGAGGTTGCCGTTGTTGGCGAGAGCCATAAATCAGATGAATATTAAGATATCTTCTCGCATCCCGAAAGCATCCATTGGTGGTTTATGAGATCCTCTTGTAATCTCTGGTTGTTACTATATTACGAATTCTTCCCAATCTTATTCGATAAAGTAGGCGAACTTCATCGACTGACTGCTTGTGTTGGGGTATAGTTTGATCTTCTTCGTTTGTTGGTATCCATTCAGATAGGTTTTGGCCACGCTTATCCTCAACGATCATATTGTGCAGTATAATACATGTGATCATCACTCGGAGGAGATCGCTTGTTCTTTGAAGCCTTGCTGGAAGCTCCAAAATTCGCCATTTTTGTTTGAGTACTCCAATGCCCTCTCAATGTCTTTCCGACAAGCCTCTTGCGAAATCGTAAACGTTTTCTCCTTAGCTGTAATTGGATTTATGACAGTTTGCATAAAGATAGCATGTTTAGGATATATTTTGCCTGTCAGATAATATGGTAGATTGTACAATGTCCCGTTTACCTCGTACTCAACTGGTGGTGCCGTGTCATCCATGTATTTGTTGAACAACGGCGAATAATCTAAAATGGTTACATCATTATATGTGTCCGACATCCCGAAAAACACATGTCATATCCATAGATCCTGAGATACAACAGCCTCCAATATCAACGTTGGGTACCCATAACGTCCATTGTGTTGGTTGCGCCAAGCAATGGGACATGCATTCCATCGCTAATGAATACAGTCTAGCAAGTCAATCATCCCGGGAAATCCACGAGTTTTTTTTCAAATAAGAGACGCGCAAGATCCTCCATAGTTGAATCACCTAACTCCATTGTTGCCCTCTATGTTGTTGTGTTCCCAATCTTTACGACTTCGTCGACACTATCAAAACAACATCCATAAGTGAGAACACACACGACGGCCATCATTTTTTGCAGCGGTGAAAGGCACTTTCGATTAGTATAATCAGCCCGTTGTGTGAAATAGTGATTATGATTGCATACATTGTGTAAAATTTTGGTGAATACCTCATGACGCATGCAAAATCTCCGCCAAAAAAATGATTAGGAAAACGAGGAGTTTCAGACGTATAGTCATTCCATAACTCTTCATGTCTCACTTCACGATCACGGTATATGTAATTTCGTCGCTCAGGTGCACCTCTAGCTCCAATGTCAAAAATAAAAGGATACGAGTGCTGTAACGTTTCAAGCTAATCATGTTCTAGTTGTAGTAGTATAAGCCTCCTCCACCTTCTCCTGTAATCACTCTCTTAAACCATCGACTAAAAGTAAAAAATTTTGTCTGACATGTTGACCACCATCATCATCACTATCCATATAGTGTTGTGAATAGAACAAATTTAAGGTAAATTCACTTGTTCAGTTGAAAATAAAAATATGTGTAAACCTTATGTTATAGTGATTCGTTTTTATAATATGAGATCCAACAATCAATCTTTAATACAATGGGTATTAATAAATATGATTGGATTTAAAGTAATTGATATAAAGGAAATAAATGTACAAGATTTGCAATTAATACACATTGTAGTAATAAAATGGTCAAAAGAAAAAACCTCCGCTTGTACTTGGCAGGCCCGTCCCTAGGGCTGGGCAATGAGGGCGACCGGCGAGGGCCCAGTCCAGGTTAGGGCCCCAAATTCTTAGACTATATTTATATATATATGGGTAATAATAGCATACTACACGTTGTAGGCGGTCATTTTAATAGCGAGTCTCTCAATATTCCCGATGCGAGTATGCCACCATTCCACTCCCGCCAATGATTCATCTTGCAATTTACCGTCAAGTATTAAATTTTATATATGTACACTTATACGGGCGAAAAGACATATCTGTAAAATTGAACAGCGAAAATAATAATAACGGTGTCGATCCATTTTCTTTCTCTGCAATTTTTTCCCCACGGCCACATCCAACGCGATTCTTCAAGTTAAATTGTAGAAGAAGATCCAAAGTGAAAATTTGTTGCCGCATTGGCCAATTTTACAGGTAGTTAGGATTTCAATTGATTTTTTTATTCAATTTATTTGCTTAATCTTACAATATTTTAATTGAATTGATTTGTTCAATTTTAATTTTTTTTTTGTTATAAGTTAACTTAATTGTTTAATTATATATATATAAGATTATAGTGATATAGATAATAAATCCAATTTTTATCTGAAAAACATTTTCAATTAATTTTTTTAATTGAATTTCTTTTTTTTTTTATTTTGTGTTATAGGTTAACGTTTTATTTTCCTTTTATATTCTTTACATATAATACAAACAATTGAATAAAGAAAAAGAAACAATTGTGAATAAAACCCAGTTGCTTTTGTTTCAATTCGTTAAATATATTTTGTTATTGTTTGATTTATTTATATAGCAATGTTGCCAAGAAAATATCTTTCCGATAGTGAAAAAAAAAAAGATTGAGCAATTGATAGAATCGCAAAAGGATTTCTTGATAAAAAAAATTTCTAGAAATATAGGTTCTTCCAGTGATGATTTGAATGTAGATGATATTGATCAGTTGGAATCTAACGATGAATTCAACACTGAAAATAAAAATAATATTGACGAATTTAATGACAATAATTTAGATGAGCATGATAATGATGTAAATATAGTTGATGATGATATTTTAGATGAAAATTTATTTATCTATGACACGAGGTATTAGAATAATTTTGATAATAAAAAAATATATATATTTTAATCAAAAATAGACCAAGAAGAGACTTAAATCTTAGTTTCCCCTTGGATAATACTTCTCAACATTTTTCAAATATTCATTACACTATGAAAGTAAAGTATATTATTTTTGTTGCAAGTTATTTACATCCAATAATAATAAAAGTTATTTAGCAGGTATAAATTAATTACTAGAAACATCTTGGGGATAGACTTAGAACACATGAGAATAGTTTTGAATATATTACTAATATGAATACTTGGAATGAAGTGAAATTAAGATTAACAAATATCAAACAATTGATAAATATTTGCAACAAGAAATTAGGAAAGAAAAAGAACATTGGAGACAAGTTTTGATAAGAATGATTTATGTTGTCAAATGTCTTGCTAAATATAATTTAGTTTTTCGAGGATCAAATGCAAAAATTTATCAAAACGGCAATGGCAATTTTTTAGAATTGATTGAAATGATTGCTGAATTTGATTTAGTAATGCTAGATCATGTTAGACGGATTCAAGATCAAGACATTCATTATCATTATCTCGATCTTAAAATTCAAAATGAGTTAACTTTATTATTGGCTATTGGTATTAAAAATTCAATTATAAAAACTATTAAAAAAATTAAAATATTTTTCTATTACTCTTGATTGTACCCGGATGTGAGTCATCAAGAGCAAATGACTTTGATTATACGTTGTGTAAATATGTCTAATAGGATGATACAAGCGGGTTAGAGTTTTTTAATGAATTAGTAAATACGCTTAAATCTCTTGATCTTGATATTGCTAATATTAGAGGCCAAAGTTATAATAATGGTTCTAATATGAAAAGTAAGCATCAAGATATTAAAAAACGACTACTTGATATCAATCATAGGGTCTTTTATATGTCATGTGCTTGTCATAGTCTAAATATATGACAAACTCTTGTGTAAAAGCTATATCATTTTTTGAAGTTATACAACCCATATATATACTATTTTCAAGTTCTACAAAAAAGATGAAAATTTTTGCTTAAGAATGTGTCTGGTTTAACGATAAAATCATTGTCAAATACTCAATAGGAAAGTAGAATTAAAAGTGTTAGAACTATTAAATTTCAAACTCCTCAAATTCGATTAGCTTTAGTGGATTTATATAATTCCTGTAGTGATGTCAAGTCACAAAACGAAGTTGAAAGTTTATTAAATGCTCTCGAGTCCTATGAATTTTTAATTGTATGGTAATTTGGTATGATATTTTATCTGTAATTAATATTGTAATTAAAACATTGCAATCTAAATCAATTTGTGTTGATCATGCTGTCAAACAAATAGATGTTATGAAATATTTTAAAAATTATAGAAATGTTGGATTTAATTCTAATTTAGAAAAAGCTAAATAAGTTCTTTTAATATGGATGTTGAATGTAAATTTTTCAAAAAAAACGCCATATTTATAGAAAAAAAAAAAAAAACTGTTTGACGAAAATAAAAATGAAGATGGTATACAATCTGACGAAGAACAATTTAAAAGTAATTATTTTCTTATTATTGTTGATATGACTATTACATTATTAAATGAAATATTTGAACAATTAAGTCAATTTAATAGTATTTTTGGGTTTTTGTTTAATTCTAAAATGCTTAAATATTTGAATGATGATAAACTTAGAAAATGGTGTTTTGTATTTTCAAATAGTTTATCTCATAATGATTTATGTGATATTGATTTAGAAGATTTTATTATTAAATTAAAAGTTTTACAAGTTATTTTACTAGATAACTTAAATTCGCCTATTGAAATTCTTGAATATGTTAGAGCTATTGATTGTTATCCAAATGTTTCAATTGCTTATCGAATTTTATTAATAGTTTCTGTAACAGTAGCATCTGCTAAAATAACTTTTTCTAAATTAAAGTTACTGAAAACTTATTTGAGGTCATCTATGTTGTAAGGAAGATTGAATGGTTTAGCTATGTTATCTATTAAATATATATATATTAGAAACCATTAATGTTGATAATATTATTAATGATTTTGCATAAAAAAATGCTAGAATGAATAATTTTATGTAATATTTATGTATTTTTATTTATATTATGCAAGCAGGGAATAGAAGTAGCTCCCACAAAATAGTAGACAAAATATGATAAAATAGCGGCGGCAACATGTATGAAGTTGGTGGAATAATCCAAAATATTAATCGTTGGCTTAAATCTTTTTGAGTTGTATTATTTAATGTTTAATTTGTTTTGCATTAAGTATACTTTGTAAAACTGAAATATTGCTATTTTTAATTTTTTAATAATAATTATTTTTTTATTTTTTTAAAAAAATTATTTTGTAGGGACCTCTTTTTTTAAGTTTTTGCCCAAAATCTTCGATATGTCAAGAACGGACCTGGTACTTAGCATGTTTTTCTAAACTAAATTTTTCCTACGAATAGAGCAAATGTACAATGTAGTAATAGTTTGATGCACAAACATTATAGATCAAATCAGTTGCTCCAAAATGAACACTAAAACCTACTTTATGTAAGAAAATTCAATGTATATTCTCATATTTGAAACTTGTAAGAATTGACAATTTACTCAATACTGCAAACAATTTCACAAAGAGAAAGAAAAAAATATATACATATTAAAAGGTATAAATCAATTATGTTCCCGTATATTTGCAGCCCTGCAATTCCATGCAATAAAGACGAGAATTTTGTACAAATACATTGTTGTCTTGCAGTGAATTGTATATCAACAAAAAATGCAAACATGTCGAAACAAAAAAATATATATTTATTTTGTTTTAATTTTAGGAAATAAGAAAAATAAAACAAGGAATTGAATATAAGGAAATGAGCTATGTCTATTCACACAGCTGACTTATTAAAATATTACATTCATAATTGATACAATAACAACTATTATAAGTAAGTTTAGACATTGTGTTGGCTTATAATAATTATTATTAAATAAGTATCTTCTTGAACTAAATTTGGATTCAACATCAATATGCATTACACAGCCACATCGGCCTCCATATGAAATAGGCAACAGTGCCAATAAAGTATAAATCCAAAATTTCATCTCTTTTAAAAAATATAAAATTATATAATACTCCTGACGTCCTATAATAAATAATGTAGTACCATTTTCGGCAAGGGATCATCGGTTTAAAACTTACCCAGTTTAATCAGTTTAACCAATTATTTTATAACATCTGTTATGACTTTTTAATATTTTTTTAAAATAAAAAAATAATTAACTCAACTAAAATTATAATTTACCTCTCCAATATTTTATTTATTTCATTCCATTCCTATTAAACACTCCCACCCGATTTATTTTTTCTCTTTCAGCCCTAATCTTTTGACGAGAAAAATACTCCGATGAAGAGAAGAAGAAGAGGGGGAGGAGAGATGACGGCAGCTTCGGTGGAGCAGACCCCAATGGCTGGTGTCGCGGTCGACGACGAGTAGGAAAAAGGCTGAACAGCGGGCGGTGGCTTTGGCAGCGGTGCAAGGCGTCGTCGGGGGTGAATCGATGATCAATGAAGGGGGAAGAGAATAAGAGAGAGTTGTGAGGAAAAGAAAGAAATAGAAAATAAATGCAAGTTTGGGAAGTTTAATTTGGGAATTATAATGAAATTTGGGTGGCCGTCGGCATCACGAGAAAATTAGGGTTAGAGTGTCGATGATATTACGGGAGAGAAATTTAGATGGATGTGTTTACGAATGAAAGGAAAAATAAAAGATTGGAGGATAAAATTGTTATTTTAGTTAAATTAATTGTTTTTTATTTTAAAAAAATATTAAAAAGTCAGAACACATTTTATAAAATAATTGGTTAAACTGATTAAACTGGGTAAATTTTAAACCGACGATCTCTTGCCACCATTTTCATTTTAATATGTCCCATAACAAATATTCCCTTCATCCCAAAAGAGATATTTTATTGGGAGTTGACACGGAAATTAAAGAATAATAGTATTTAATTGAAAGTTAGTATAAAGTAGAATATAAATTACTAAAATGCCCTTACTTTCTTAAGGATTTTAAACTGTAAATTAGTGTAATAATTAAAGGTAGTTTGAATAGTATGAATAATTTTGTTAGTAGGACCACGGTTACTAAATAAGGAAACAAGACAATTATTTTGGGACAAACAAAAATGGAAAACCAAGACAATTCTTTGGGACAAAAGGAGTAATATATTTTTATATTTAATAAATTTTACTAATTTAATACATATTTAACAAACATAAATCAGTTTAATTAACTTTATATATATAAACGCACTTAAAACATATTTATTTCTATCTCTCATCAATAATCAAATATTTATATTTATAATTAAAATGTATATTTTTTATTTATATTATATAAAATTTTATTTTTACAAAATAATATTCATATTACATATATTTTATTAAGATATAAATATTAAAAAAATATTTTTTAATAAATTTTAAAGTTACTAACAATACCTTTTACATAAAAAAGTAATAAAATAATATTATAACATATTATTATCAACTAATTAAATATCATCACCTTAAAAATCATATACTTAATAAAAAAATACGTCATCTGTCCCAGGAAAGTTGTCTTATTTTTTTCATTTTCATTCATCCCAAAACAATAGTCATATTTCTTTATTTAGTAACCCTTTACAATAAAATTATTCTTATTTTTATAAAACTACCCTTAATTATTATTCTAACCTACTTTTTAAAATCCTTCAAAAGTAATTTAATCTTTTACATTCTATACAAGACATCTTTTATGGGGCGAAAGAAAGTATATTTAATAAAATGAATAGAGTATTATTTTTTTCATAAAACAAAAATTGCACAATATAACCTAAAAATAACAAAACTCTATTCTATTTTTATAGTGGAAAATAAAAGTATAAAGTCATCTACAATGAATAGCCTTTCTTTGGTGCAATTACTGCATATACGGAATTTTTACACTCCAACTCTATTTTTTATATAAAAAATAGTATTTGCTAAAGTGCACCATTTTTTGTGTTACACTATAACAATCTCATTTTATGGGGTAGGCTTTTTTTTTACATATTAATTCTTTTATTTATTATTTATTTTTTAATTTTTTTAAAATATAATATTAATTGTAGATATAAAAAATAGTTTAAAATAATATATAAAATAAAATATTTTGAAAAATATTATTTTTGAAGTAAAAAATAAAGTTGTAGATTAAAATAAAAATATTGTAACAACTATTTTTTTAAGTTAAAACGATATAAATAGAGTTTATGCATTGGAAATGGCCTAATAGAATTGAAACTCCAACTTTCAAATTTAACACAATAAACTGATTGATTAAAATTACTCTTGATAAAATTTTAATATTTTCAAATTTTTAAATATCCTTCAAACTTAATATGTCATATATTAGTTCTAACTATTAACAAATAATTTGAAATAAAATCAAATCAACATAGGCCCAACCTAGAAGATATCATCATGTTCCAAGCCATTCAAGTTAAAAGAAAAAATAACCTAAAACAAAATCATATCAACCTAAACTCAATCAAAAACAATTTGTATTGTTTTCAAAATTTCAAGTTGAGAAGTAAGTTTGGGTTGTACTCAAGTTTGCAAAATTTCTAGATTTTCTTAACAATCAAGAATGATGTCAGAAGGAGACTAAATGCATCTTAGAAGTGCTTGTGAACATAATGAATTTTCTTAATAATCAAGAATCAAATGGATCTGAATATATAAGTGCAGATCATAAACAAGAACAAAGCAAAATATCGAAACTAATGTATATCTCATATATCTTGAGTGATTTCCATATATTATCAAATCTAACAGCAGCAAGACAGTCAGTGTTGATACCAATATCCCTTAAAATGCACAAAAACAATGAACAAACCCTAGCCGCCGAATCCATAGAGGGTCCTGCCCTGCCTCTTGAGGGCATAGACGACGTCCATGGCGGTGACCGTCTTCCGCCTGGCGTGCTCAGTGTAGGTCACGGCGTCACGTATCACGTTCTCCAGGAAGATCTTGAGCACGCCACGTGTCTCCTCGTAGATAAGCCCCGAGATCCGCTTGACGCCGCCCCTTCTGGCGAGCCGGCGGATCGCCGGCTTGGTGATCCCCTGGATGTTGTCGCGCAGGACCTTCCGATGCCTCTTCGCCCCTCCCTTCCCGAGCCCCTTCCCGCCTTTACCTCGCCCGGACATCCTCCTCCTGCTATTTCTAGATTGGGAATTGAATTGTAAGAGACTTGACGAATGAATTGAGGCGGGTTTGATTGATTGTTTGTTTATTTATAATTTTGAAAGAGGGGTTTGCTGGTGGGGGGTCGATCCGGAAGGGAATGTGGGATGAATTTTCAACCGTTGGATTTTGTTTATTGGACGGTCTGGATGGGTCCTTCTCAAAAGGCGCGGATCGGATAGTAGTTCGAAAATTATAGAATGGGTTTTCTCAAACGAGCGAGGTTTTAAATTTTGTCTTTTTGGCGGGCGGACCAAATATATTGCACCTATTCTATTGTATTTTGTTTTTATAATTTTTTTGCTTTCAAGATATTTTTGGATGACGTTTGTAATCTAAATATTTGAAAATTAATTATTATTCATTTTATTGTATATACATTATGTAGTACACATGTCAAGGATACGTGGATACTGTTATACCATTTCTGTGGCAGATCTACGCCTATAAATATATGTACATGTACGAGGAATCGATCAATTAATTCTCATGTTTCCCTTACTCATTCTCTCTCCTTAGCATTTATCTTCCTATATTATAGATATATATATATATTATAATATATATAATTACTTATTACTAATATAATACTTATGCCTTATATAAATATATACAATTATATATATACATACACACGCTGCGAATATATATTATTATATATAATATATTACATAATATAAAATAGTGGTTAGCGGTAGAAGTAATTAATATTTCTATTGGATAATCCTATAATAATATCACAACACATTTCATCTATTATAATTATGCTAGATTTTTTATTGTATTTTAAATTTATACATAATTTATTTTGATACTATAAAAAAAAAATTGAAAAAAAAATCCTTGCTCATGTGGAAAATAATTTTATTTTTATTATTTTAAAAAATAATTTGTCACTATTTTTATCATATTATTTTAATAAATTTTCTATATTTTAATAAATTTTCTATAGTACCTTCACTTTATTTTTTATATATTCTACTTTTATATTAAAATATTGTTATTTTTTTAATTTTCATATTCAAGCAAAGTGACTTAAGTATTACAAAAGAGTAAAAATATAAAATACGGTTAGCAACATGTTAACTAATCGATTATGATAAATTACATCAATGGTGTGTTTGGCAGTTAGTTGTTAACTGATTTGATTAGCTGTTAGTAGTTAGCTGATTCGAGTAGCTGGTTTGACTAGCTGATTCGATTATCTATTTGTATTAAAATATTTCGTAAAATAGCTGTGTGATATTAATTGTTTATACGTAAAATGATGATTAATGACATTTTATATTTTATTTTCAAAATATTTAGTTAAATTTTTTCGGTAGATAGATTTTTTTAGAATTTTTATTATTAATTTTAAAAATTAAAAGAAATATATTATGATATTTATTTATTTCTTTTTAAAATATTTTTGAAGAATTAATGCAAGTTTATTGAGAAATATATATTATTTATTAGAAAAAATATAAATATAAAAAGAACAAAAATCATTAGTATATGTATTTTTATTATAATAGTTTTTTAATTAATATATATTTACATTAAATTATAATCTTAAATAAATATATTCATTTTTAATAAAAATATTATGTGATAAAAAATTCTAGTATATAAATGAATATATAATATTCATATTTTTATATTATCTTTATTCTAAAAATTTAAAATATATATATAAATAAGATAATTGTCATATAAAAGATAATTATTTTACATTTATAAACATAAATTTATAAGTTATACAAGAAAATATATCCAAATAATGAATAAATAGTGTAATAAAAAAAGACAAATTAATATATATGAAAAATTAATTAATTTTAAAGTAATAAGAAAAATTAAAATGAAAAAAAGCTAATCTAAAACGCTAGGATGTACCGCTTTTTCAAAATTAGCTTTTTGGACATAATAAACTAATTGAAAAAATTAATTTATCAAACACCAAAATTAGTTGATTTACTAGTCAAACAACTAAAAGTTCTTCAATAAGTTAAAAGCTCTTGAAAAAATTGTTTGTCAAACACCCTGTAAGAAATACCTTATGAGTCATGAAGTAATGACATTTCTATCAATATTGTGAACTCTGACATGACAGTTTCATCCGGCTGAAACTATTAATTCACTTATGATCTATCTTATGTCGTGCCTTAATTTTGCATATACCTTATGAGTCATGAAGTAATGACATTTCTATCAATATTGTGAACTCTGACATGACAGTTTCATCCGGCTGAAATTATTAATTCACTTATGATCTATCTTATGTCGTGCCTTAATTTTGCATACAACGAGCCAATCATCTCTTTTTCTACTCCTACTTAGATAACAAATACTCACTCCGTCCCGGCTACAGTGTCCATTTTATTGTAGATATGAGAATTTAAGATAAGTATAATTAGTAAATAATTAATAATGTATTAGTGAAAATAATTATTTTATAATAAAAATAATTTTAGATTAAAATTAAGATAACTAATCAATCTAATCAAAATTTAAAAAAATTAAAATTTTAAAATAAGATTAAAGTGTATAATTATTTTCCAAAAAAAAAAGTGACAGAATAAGTGGGAAAGACGGAAATGGAAAGATGGACACGGTAAATGGGACGAAGGGAGTATAATATACCTTAACGGTTTGTTGAGCGAAAATATATTATTCCTCTGATCGATACCATCGTTTAAAATTCACATCAACAAAATTATATTTAGCATACACTCGTTGTCCACGAATAGGATCGACCCATTAGCATTTAAACAAAAGAACATGCATTTCAGGACCTTCTAAAAAATTCACATGTATTATTTCTTCCAACTAACCATAGAAGTCGTCTTCAACAAAGGAATAATTGCATTATCGCACACATACCCCATAGTTCATAGTCTGGTTACCATCAACGAATTGCACTTTATGAAAATTGAATCTATTGACAGAATATGCTTCAATTGTTGTCACTTTATTCGATATACATCATGCTAGTGTTTTCAACAAAGGATCGTCTATACAATTTCGAGCATCTTGAATCTGAAATATAAAAATTAATATATCAAAAAAAGTATGTATAATGTTCATATTAAGACAAGATGTTGATAACTTACCTATGATTTAAACCAATTTAAGAAGTGCTTCCACACAAGTGTATCAAGATTCACCCTCTCGTTACTATAAAGATCATTCATTTGATCTTTAAATATACTGCATCAATAATTTCAAAATTTAAGATGAGAAATCTTAATATAAATGAATAAATTTACTTTTAAAAGATCACTTTTAAAAAATTTAAATATAATACTATAAAATTACCAAAAGTAGAGCTCCACTTCAGGGCAATTTAATAATATATGTCTCAATAGTATGTCGTTCTTGTGAGTTAAGATATCGAAACAATATCTTACCATCCAAATGACCAGGTTGATTGAAAATTGAGAAACTTAAATCCGAGACTTTCTCAACACCCTCGTTGTTCCTACTATTGCGAATATATTTTGTGTTGATGCTAGAATCAAAATAATAAGATGCCAATATTGTGACTTCCTCTACTAAATATACTTCGCATATAGAGGCTTCAATAGCTACCTTATTCTTTGGGTTTTTTTTTTGTTTTTTTTCAAATCGCACAAAAACCTTCAAAATAAATATTGAAATAATTAAACATTTTGTATTTACAATATTAACATACCTTTCAAAAGGATACATCTATCGATATTGCACAGGTTCTCCTATATGTGCTTCATATAGTAAATGAACCATAAGATGTTCGATTGAATAAAAAAGGCTTGGTGGAAATATCTTCTCAAGATTGCAAATTATTAATGGAGTTTTGTCCAGATCTTTCATATATTCTCCTTTCAATATAGGACTACACAATTGCTGGAAAAATAGACTAACCTCTACATTGGCACTCCATACATAATCTGGAAGCATCTTCTTGAATGCAATCGAAATCAACCTCTCCATAAATATATGACAATCATGATTTTTCATACCGCTCAAGTTAAACTCATTCACGTCAACACATCTGCCGATATCAGAAGCGTAGCTGTCAGGGAATTTCAATGTCTTAATCCATTGACAGATCTTCTTCATTTGTTCTCGACTTAATGTGTATATTTCTTTGGGCATAGTACCCGTATCTAGGTTCACGGTAAGCTCTGATCGATTGCATAAAACTTTGATATTCTTTTGAGAACTGAGATTATCTTTACTTTTTCCTTTGATTCTCATAACAGTATAGAAGATATTATCAAACACATTCTTTTTAATATCCATCACATCAAGGTTGTGTCGAATCAAATGAATTTTCCAATACGATAAATTTCAAAAATACTTCTGTGGGTCCACTTATGATTAGTATCAAATCCATGAGGCTTTTCAAAAAGATCATTTATAACACTATTAAATTGACATATTTGATACCAAATTTCATCTCCATCTCGCCTATGAGGCGGAGATGTATTTTCAACTAAATCTCTTTTAAAAGATTTCTTAACACGTCGATACTCCTGATCAAAGGGTAAGAATCCTCGGTGGCAATCAAAATAATCTTTCTTCCGTGTTCAAGTAAAATGTTCGAGTATTTTCCATACATATTGGACAACTAATAAGCCCAGTTGTACTCCAAAAAGAAAGCATACCATATGCTGGAAAGTCATTAATTGTCCACATATGTGAAGTTCTCATTCAAAAATATGTCTATGTAGAAGTGACGTATGATATTTCTTTTATCTCCCACAACTTTTTCAGCTCTTCAATTAAATGTTGCAAATACACATCAATATTACCTTTTGGATTTGTAGGGACAGGAATTATTAACAACAAAAATATATATTCACTCTTCATACACATCCCTGGAGGTAGGGGTGGACACGGTTCAATTATTTGCAAATATGCATGTATTTGATATCCGAACCGAAAATATTTACAGTATTTGTAAATAACTCGAACCAACCGAAGTTAAGAAAAAAATACATTAGAAAATAATTAAAATTCTAATTAAATAAAAAATATTTAAAATATTTATACTCCCTCAATCCCATTGAAAGGTTGTTATTTTCTATTTATGTCCGTCCCAAAACAAGATTATCATTTCCTAATTTAGTAATTGTACTACCTACCTAACGTAATAAATACTCTTCCAACTTACACTATATTATACAAATGTCATTACTTTTATATTACACAATACTAATAGGGGTATTGTTATCTTTTTTAATATAACACAATATAATACTAATATTAAAAAATATACGTGTAATAAGTAAACTGTAACCTTTCTACGGAACGGAGGGAGTATAAATTTTAAAATATAATAATATAAATATATTCAGTTCGGTTAACTGAATCAAAAAATATCAAAAACTGAAACCAAATCGAACCAAACAAATATCAAATATGCAGTATTTGTATTCGAACCGAATTTGCTCGGTTAACCAAAAATTCGGTTCAGTTCAGCGGTTCAACAGTTCAGTTCGATTTTTTTACCCACATCTACCTAGAGGTAAGTTATAAGGTGTGACAAGAATAGACCAACAAGAATATTGTTTTCCATATGAACCATTCGGACAAAAGTTATCTGCACATAATTCTAGCCGAACATTTCTCGCCTCATGTGAAAATTCAGTATGTACACGATCAAAATATGTTCATGCTTCACCATCACAAGTATGACACATATAACCATTTTCAGTATCATGTGTGAAATGTCACGTCATATATTCTAAAGTCTTTTTAGAAGATATAACCTCTATACTCTAGGGATTAATGGTAAATATCTCAATTGTGCAAAATGAACTTTTTTTCGTTGAAGCTTACTTCCTTTGGGTGCTTTATAATGTGAATACCCACAAAATTTGCAGAAGTCCATTAACTCATCTTCATTCCAAAACAAACATACAACTAATTTTTTAGCAATCAATTTAATAATTGGTAACCCTAATTCACATATCGATTTTTTTTTTTTTTTTTTTTTTGCATAATAACCCGATGGCAACTTATAGTTTGAAGGAAATATTTCACCTATAATTTGCAACAAATCATTGAAGCAATTTTGTGGCATATTATAATCATTCTTTATGCTCACTAAACGAACAACTGCAGATAATTGAGAATATGTCTCACAAATATTCTACATAGGACGATTAGGTGCACGTAGAACATCTATAAACTTGTTCAAGTGTGCACCATTGTTAGATTGTTTAAATGTGGCATCTATAGATGATTCATCTCCATTCGAATATGTATCTTTCCAACTATCTGCAATATCAGATTGCTCCAATTTATTGACGTCCCAATAATGTCAGGTAAGTATTCATTGCTTCCAATTTGAGTGATAATGATTATGTATTAAGTTATAACCTATATGAAGGGTGTGTTTGTTTGGGGGTTTGGATTTTGAGTTGGGATTTGAATAGTAAAAATTTTGAATTTGAATAGTTGTATGATGTGATATAAATAGGTGATGATGTGATGTTTTGAATGTAAAATTGATTTTTAGTATAATATAAAAAATAAAAAATAGGTGTTTGATTTGATATTTTTTAGGGGAAATTTTGGATGAATAGTGAGATTTGGACCAAATCTCTCAACCGAACACACCCGAAATATATTAATTATAACAAATACATTACGGGTGTGTTTGTTTGAAGGATTTTGGAGGATTTCCACTATTCATCCAATTTTTTTCCCCCAAAAACATCAAATAAAACACCTATTTTTCATTTTTTATATTATACTAAAAATCAATTTTACATTCAAAACATCACATCAAACCCTATTTATATCACATCATACAACTATTCAAATTCAAAATTTTTACTATTCAAATCTCAATCCAAAATCCAAACCCCCAAACAAACACACCCGTAACACCATCCACGATTTCACTATTAATTAATTTTTATTTTTGTGTTTTCACATATTTTTGTAAAACTTCCCTCCTCCAACTTTTTAACTTTTTGACTTTTTTTTTTTTTTCATTTTCAACTTTTTTTTTTAATTATTTTTTATTTTCAAGCGACGTTTTTAAAAAAAAGTCCATTCACCCCCAAATTTTTATGTCTTTTCAATCTATATACTATAAACACGTTTAGATTTTAATTTTTTTTTTTTCCTTTCATATATTAATAGCAATATGAATAACAATATATTCCAATATAATATATCCACTTTTGTTAACAACCTTTTTATTTAATTTTGTTGTTTAGATAATTATATGTATTTACCAGATATAATGATCTTTTGGTTTAAATTTATTTATTTTTATCCTCAATTTCAAAACCCAAACACTCCACCTTTTCTGCCAACAAAACTAAACTGAAAAATGGTACCCCGTTTTAAAGATTACAAAAATATAGAAATATACAACGTGTGTGTAATTTTATATTCTAAATAATATAATTAAATTCCTCCCACCAACAAATTAAACTTAAAAAAGGATACATAAACTTTAAAAATTACAGAAATAATCCTTTTTATTTTTATAAAATATATTTTTATAGTTTTTCTTCATTATTATGTATAATACGTAATAAAATATAATAAAAATTTCAGATATTAAATATTAAATATTTTCAGTTGAAACAAATTTCAATCATATAAAGGTAATATATGTATCATGGTGACTTGGAAAATAATAAAAATAGTTGAAAATTGGTAAAAACACAAAAAAAAAAAAAAAAAAAAAAAAATGTAATAAAGATGATAAAAAGTATAAAATATATAAAATTAATTTTTATAACTATTAATTTAAAAAAGATTTGGAATGAATAACTAATCAAATAGTAAACCGCCCGGACCTACCGTAAAGTTGCTCTTGCCCATCGTATGGTTTGCATCATAAAAAAGTTATATATATATATTGCTTTAACTATTAATTAAACATAATATTTTATAATAAAAAATAAATATTTTCACAAATAAATAATAGAGACAATAACACAATTGCCAACATGCAGTAAAACTTTGTTGTGCTATATACAAAAATTAATTAAAGGTAGCAATACTAAGCAGTACATGATAAGAGGGCTTTTAATATGTAAGTAAGTTGTCTTCGTCTCCCAAAAGTATCACCATTACCAACAAATTATCGATGTTAAGAATAGAATTCTCTAATAAGTAAGTTCCACGACAGAATGACTAGAACAGTTAAAAACGTAATATAACAGACACAGGACGAGGAACCCTAACTAAACCAGGCAGGGTAAGGTGGGGTTGGGTAGGGTAGGGTAGATACTCACCATTTGAATCCCATCCCGCCATCGTCACTCGCGCTTCGCCTTAGATAACGACGACCTCATACCTGACGCAGTCGTGCATCGCCCGACAAACTTGAGAACTTCATCGATTAGAATCACCGGAAAAGCGACAGCCACCACCAGCCACCACTCGTTCAGGCTGAGCGGCACAATGCCGAAGATCTGCGCGAGGAAAGGCACGTAGAGGATAAGGAAGTGCAAGGCAAACGACACCGACATAGCCAGAAGCAGCCACGGGTTGACCCACGGGGGCATCGACAAGAGGCTCCCGTCTTCGGACAGGGCATTGAGCGAATTGAACATCTCGATTGCGACAAGCACCGACAGGGAGAGCGTCGTCGCCTTGATTTTCCCCTCCTTGAAGTAGTCGCAGGGATCGCTGAATTTTATCACCTCCGCCCCCGCCGTGAACGGCGAAGCTGAGAAATTCTGCCAGGTCGGGCACTGCCCCCAGTTGGCGAGTTGGGAGTATGTTACGAGGCTGTGGCCGTCTCCGCTCAGGTCGATGCCGAGGAAAGATGACTGTGTGTACCAGATGACGAATATTCCCACTGTTGCTATGCCTACGTAAGATCCGATTACCTGCGGCAACAAGATAAGGAAAATGGTTTAAGTGGGCGTAGAATTCATTGAAAGGAAAATGATGAGTGTGTACCAAATAGCGAAACAGAATCCATGGATTTATCAATGAATCGTCGCTTTTTCTGGGGGGTTTCTTCATTATGTCCTTGTCGGGAGGATTAAATCCCAAAGCAGTAGCCGGTGGCCCGTCGGTGACCAAGTTTACCCACAGGAGCTGTACCGGGATTAGACCCTCTGGAATGCCTAAAGCAGCTGTTAAGAATATAGATGCCACCTCGCCCATGTTCGAGGAGATCATGTATCTGTGACAAGAATCAGAGAATAAAATTGCTATATTGTGCAGGAAAAAAGAAACAAATAAAATAGAATCAATATATCTTTATCAAATTCTTTATACAAACTTGAATAGTGTGCAAACCAAGTAATGTTCTAACTTCATAATTTTGTTTGCCGTAATAAATGGTATATTTCATCCCTCACACAGTAAATATGGAGCTTCATTCTACGTCAACAGCCGACACATACAATGGAAGTGAGACCAAGAAACATACCAAATTGCTATCCTTTACACAAATTACATAAATTAACTATAAACTTTAAATTGTATTCTTTTGTGGGTTTTACCATATTCTTTTTTCCCTTCAAAATTATCACATCAAACAATTACTTTTTTTTTTTTAATATTATCCTACAAATTTATTTTACATTCAAAACATCACATCAATCTCTATTAATATCACATCAAACAACTATTCAAATTCAACTTTTTACTATTCCAAAATTCAAACCCAAAAACTGAAACCACAAACAAACACACCAAAGCATTTGTTGTTTGACCTGAAGGTTATTTCCCTAACAGCTGACTCGTATCTCAGTAATAACTGGACAACATCGGCCACATGAATTAGCAAGTGCTCCTCTAAGCCATCAGCATGTTTCGCAAATACTGTTGACTGATTGACAAATAAATCAATGTGGCATTCAAATAAAAAACACCACTATCTAGCACGGCAACTAATTCCGGTGCTCATCAGTCTTTAGGGTTATAATTGGGATTGAAGTCATTATAACAATCCAATAGGCAAATATTTTAGCATAAACAAGCAATCCCAAAGTGTAAAACTTAATCTGTATTCTATCTATTCAAGCATTGACTATAGATAAAGTCCCAGAGTCGAGATAGAGTGACCTATTAGAAAAGTAGCTAAAAGTTGGGAGGTAGAAATGGTTAGAAAGCATATTTATTCATCAAAAGGGTGTAATGGAAAACATAATATAGCGAAAAATCAAAGATCACAGACTAGGAGAAAAGCATCACCTGATGAAGGCCTTCATATTATTGTAAATTGATCTACCTTCCCCTACGGCAGCAACAATAGTGCTGAAATTATCATCTGCTAATACCATATCAGAAGCTTCCTTGGCAACCTACAGAAAGAAAAATGAGCATGATAAGTTACAATGGATTAGGATACTGTATTGCATAAACACCGAGCATCAAAATCGATTGGAAGAAAATGTTGCATTACACTCAAAATATGTTCAACCACGTATATAAAAGGGTGAAAATGCAGGTAGTACCATCAAAATATAATTGGTGCAATATGACAAAAAAAGGCAGTATTTGATAACATGTATTGAATAATAGCCGATGCGGCAGAATAATTTGACCTACACAGTACCTCAGTCCCAGCAATGCCCATTGCTATACCAATATCAGCCAATTTTAGGGCAGGAGCATCATTCACTCCATCACCGGTCATTGCCACCACTTCACCAGAATCTTTGAGCAATCTGACTATTTCTTGTTTATGCCGGGGTTCAGATCTTGAAAACAGAAGCCCACCATTTTGATTTAAATGAGCTTCTTTATCCTGTTTAGAGAGATCCATAAAATCCCTCCCCGTTAAGCTCCTCGAGCTAATCTTTTCATGTTTTTCAAAAATACCTATTTCACGACAAATTGCTTCAGCTGTATTTTTATTATCTCCAGTAATAACAATAACCCGAATGCCAGCTGTTTTGCAATCCTCCAATGCTTGAGGGACCTCTTTACGAGGAGGATCCTAGATAATTTAAAAGAAGATAGCATACTCAATTACAAATTTCATAATTCCTTGGCGACTTAAACACAAGGTAATATGAAAATACAACTCACCCTCAAACCAACCAAACCAGCAAAAATTAATTTGCTCTCAATGGAGGAATAATTTGCAGTGTCCAGTAAGAGCTTATGAGCTGGATGGTCTTCATCACCGTTGTACGTGGAAAATTCCGGGAGGTCATCCCTATATGCAAAACCCAACACTCTCAGTGCTCTTGAAGACATATCATTAAGGCTATCCAATATCCCTTCTCGGTAAGTTTGATCAAGTTCTACAATGGAGCCATCCTGCAATTGCACAAATGAACTCCTCTCCAGCAATGTTTCTACTGCACCCTGCATAAGGCATCAGCTACCTCCATGTTACTGAGCATAAATGAAGCTTAAATGAGAGAAAGAATAGCTATGACTAAAAGACTCGTGTTGGCTGATTGCTAGTATCATTTACTGATTTTTTTTGTTGGGAAATCTGTTTGTTTGTGGCAAGCAGGGTAAGTGGTTTTTCACAATGTGACAAGCAAATACATTTTGTTTGTGCTCAGGAGACAACAAAATCTTTTGATACCATGGATAATCTTAGAAAATACCAAAAATGATCGCCAAATTGCACCCTCTTGAAAATAAATCAGAGATAATCATTTTCATTTAAGTAATACTCTGCAACTCATTAAATTCTATACTATTTAATTATAGATGGTGGGAAAGGGACAAAAGAACAACCTTCACAAGTAGTGATTTCTTGTTGTTTCTAGAATTCACAATGACTCCCATTGATTTCCTATCGCGATCAAATTCAAGGGTGGCAATCCGCTTCTCGATTTGGCTCCACGCATAGGAGCATCCTGACATGATTCAATAAGAAATCGCACATCAGTATCATAACTCACGAAAAAAATTCTGAGAGATTGAAGAAGACATACTTAAAACACCATCAAATCCTGAACCAGAGGTAGGGTTTATGTCATCTGGAAGGCCCATTTTCTCAACAAGAACCTGAAAATATAAAAAGGTCAAACGTGTGAACTTCACTAGCCATAAGAACCTCAAATTATTTCTTAGATAGTATGGACTAAAACAAAGTTTGCCCTGTGTACTATATCTCAAAATTGACCAGAGGAACAAAGTTAAAATAACAAATATCAGTCTGTTACTGCAACAAAAAAAATAAAAAAATACTTTCAACATTTCGGCACAGCTAAACTACAACACATTTCTATTGATGAATCATCAATTTGCATGACAACACAAAAATCTTGAATTATCAACAACAATGTTCATTTAGTGTTGTGTATTATGTAATTCTGGCTACTTAATTGTATTCATTAGTACCTTAAGAGCAGCCTCAGTTGGCATTCCATTGGCCACATAATGAGCAGATACATCATGTCCGGATTTTTCCACATCAGCATCATTACACAAAGCAGCAATCTTAGCAATCATTTGAAGATTAGAATCTAATTTTCTTGTTGACCAGTTCTCTATCTCTCCATCAGCTGGATCATAGCTAGTCCCTTGCACATTAAAAGATCGGATAACATTTCCCTTTGAACCCATAGCAACGAGCTTGGACACTGCCATCTGATTGGTTGTTAGTGTACCAGTCTTATCAGAGCAAATCACAGTTGTGCATCCAAGGGTTTCAACACTAGGCAACTTGCGAACAAGCGCATTCTTGGCAGCCATTTTCCGGGTGCCAAGTGCCAAGCAAGTTGTAATCACAGCAGGCAAACCTTCTGGAATAGCAGCAACAGCCAATGCTACAGCAATCTCAAAGTAATAAGTACACTTTTCGAATGAGAACTTGAAATTTGTAGGCCACCCGTCAACAAACTCCCACGAAAGGAAGTATTTCACATTAATCAGCCATACCAATGTACAGATTGCTCCAATGATTGCAGTTAAAGCCTCTCCAAACTCATTCAGCTTCTTTTTCAAAGGTGTATCATCATCGCCCTGGGACGCCTCATGAATTTGTGAATGCACCTTCCCTATCTCTGTTTTCATTCCAATCTCAGTCACCAGACAAATACAGTTTCCGTTCACCACAGTTGTTCCCGCAAAAACCATACACTTCTTGCCCTGAATGTCGACATCCTCTGCCACAGGCTTAGTAGTCTTACTAACTGCCTCACTCTCCCCTGTCAACGACCCCTGCTCAACTCGTAGTGTTGAGCTGATCAAGTTTAAAACTCTCATATCCGCGGGAATCTTATCCCCAACTCTCAACTCCACAATATCTCCCGGAACCAGCTCCTTGGCAGGCAAATTAGAAATCTTCCTTCCCTCACGAATAACAGTTGCATGCTCAGACTGGATCTCCTTCAATGCATCCAGTGCTTTCTCCGCATTGTTCTCCTGCCAAACCCCGACTACTGCATTCACTATCAATATCAAAAATATCACCAAAGGCTCGACAAATGCCGTGATCTCCTTTTCCCCGCCTTCTTCTCCGTCGTACAATGCTAACACAAAGGAAACCACTGCTGCCACCAGTAAAATCCTGACCAATGTGTCGTTAAACTGGTCAAGAATCAACCTAAAGATCGAAACCCCTTCATGTTGCTCCAATTCATTGAAACCATAGACCTGCCGCCGTTTCTCCACCTCATCCGCTGACAATCCATTCTCCCTACTCACTTGATACTTTTCCTCACAATGCGCTACATCTTTCGACCACGCTGGGTAATAAAACCCATTCTCTTCCTTATTAGCCAAAATTTCACTCTTACCATAATCTTCCCCTCCTTTCCCCATTATGAAAATAATTTTCTTAAAAAAAAAGAAGAAAGATAATCAACACACGCCCCTAAATCCAGCAGCCTGAAACAAAAGTTCTAAAAGCATTAGAAAGTCAATTCTTCACAATCGCTAAAATCCAAAATTAGAAATAACAAAGAACATGTAATGGAAGAACGCTTTCACACAAGACAATATCACAAACTCCACAATCGACAGTACAACCGCCCCATAGGAACCGCAAAAATTAATACCGAACATAATCCGAAATGATCACCTCGATTTGCAGTCAACCGCTCACCGATCAGTTGATTAGTGCATCAATCTTCAAGCAAGCCAATAGAAACCAGATAGCAAACTCACAGGAGGCTAAACTGCGGCCCACAATACAAATAGTGCAAAAAGACTGAAACGACTATCTCTGGAAACTACGGGCGTCCCGCCTCCTTGTCGCAGGCGATTGTCCACTTGTGAGGCAGTGGGGCGAGAGCTAGGTCCCCGTGCATCGCTCCTTGCTACGACTATTCGCCTATCGGTGTCAGAACGGGCTGTACCATTGATCATTTTGTATGTCTAGCACCTGGTAGGAGGCCGGATTAAATGGCCCCACATATTGGGCCGGGCCTGTCAGCTATAAGCCCAATAATTAAAAACACAATCTAGCTCCAATTCTCCGGGTGTGTTTTTTTTTTTTTCTTAATTTGCATTTTATTTTCAAAAAATTAATATATAACATATATTTATTATTTATATTACTTCTACAATTTTTAATATCTCAAAAAAAAAAAAAAAATTCTTTTGCCTCAATTTTGAAGTGTATAAAATAAAGATAATCTTTTAGATTTTACCTTATACTCACATTGTCTGGGGTTTAAACCCATGATCTCGTCCAACCTCTACACCATTAAGTCATTGTCATTTTTTACTGGACTTATTATAAATATTAAAAAATGATGATATGGCCCATGTTCACTGCAAGAAAATATTATTTTTGTAACGAGATTTTTTTGTCGTTAAATTCACTTTTTTCGTTACTAATGATATTAGAGACGGAATTACTTACTAATGATATTAGAGACGGAATTAATGATGGAATTAAATTAGCTATGTGATCTTTAGTGATGGAATTCCGTTACAAATATACTATTATTATTTTATTTTTTTTTAGTGGTTGCCGATGGTCTTAAACATTCATTTGACTTAGAGTCACTTTATTTTTTTACAAAGCCCATAAGAGTGTGTTTGGTTGTCTATTGGAATCGGTTCACATTATGCTTTCATTATAAGAGTGTGTTTGGTTTTGAATTAAAATTTCAAATTGAAACCATTACTTTTAATATAATATAAAAAAAAAACAAGTATATATACGTCAATTATCTATTTTTACAGACTAGTTTATAAAGTTAATCATACAAATATTATTTATTTATTATATTACATAAAATTTTATTTTCTATAAATTACCACAAATCTAGCCAAACAATATTTCTATCCAAACAATAAAATCTAAGTCTAACCATTAATATTAACAGCTAATTAACCAAACAAACCCTAACCCTTATCTGAATCATACATATGTAATATCCAAGAATCTCATACACAACAAATTAAACAACCAAGTTCATCTATCCATATCCAAATCTAGGGGTGTCAAAATAAACCCGACCCGAAAAATCGAATCCGTTCGACCTGAAATTTTTCAGGTTTGGGTATTTCGGATTTTAAAAAAATCAGTTCGACCGGAACCCGAAACGAAAAAAAATCCGTATCGTGTTCGGGTCGTGTTTCGAGTTGACCTGATAATTTGAAATATAAAAATCAGGTTAGGTTTTGGGTTTCTTTCGGGTTAACATGAAATTTTTATTATTATCATTTTAATTCATAATATCTATATTATTTTAAATATAAAAAATAAAATAAAATGAATTTTTTAGGTCAATTTAATATATATATTTTTTAAGTTTTCGGGTTTGTTTCGTGTCGGGTTTGTTCGGGTTTCGAGTCCAACTTGAAAGAATTCGTGTCGTGTTCGGGTCCAGGGTTTCAGGTCAGATTTCGAATTCGGGTCGAGTTCAGATTGACAGTTTTTTTTGTTATCCCCATGACTCAACTCGACACGAACACGACCAAAAAACACAAATTCACACCCCTATCCAAATCCAAATCCAAATCCAAAACCCTAATATCATGCAAACAACATCTTCTCTCCCAATATATACACACCACTTAGAACTAAGTCATGAAAATTATTGAAATAATCAAATTAATTAGTAACATAACATATCATCGAAAACATGAAAATATTCAAATCTAAGAACACAACTCGCGCCACCACTGCGGAGATAATGGAGACGATGGAAGCCTTGTCATGGATCAAAAGAACTCTTCCCGCCAATGTCGAATTCTACGACGACGGCGACAATGAAAACAATCCTCCGGCGTGGAAGCGGGTCAAATTCTCGACGGTCTTAAATGGGCCGGACGCCGACCGGGATTATTTCACGTCGCGCATGGTGGCTGCCGATCCCGACCGCTACGGCCGGCTCGGACCCGACCCGTGGGAGGCGAGGGTTAGGCTTTATCGGAAAAGATCGAAGTTCCTACGAAGCTATCCTTTTACTTATTCTGAAGAACATAGGAATCGGAAGAAGGATGCAAAAAATAAGGAGAAGAAGAAGACGAGTAAGAAAGTCGATGACAACACTGATAGCGATAGAGATAGCGGTGGCGAGAAGAAGAAGTCGATGATCGGAGCTTATTTCCGGCGGTGGATGCTGCCGTGCACGGCGGCTAAGGTTGGGGATTCGGGGAAAGAGGTATAGGATGTGTTTGTCTGTAAGTTTTAATTTTTGAGTTTGGATTTTTGAATAATATAAAATTGAATTTGAATGGTTGTTTGATGCGATATAAATAGTTGTTGATATAATATTTTGAATGTAAAATAAATTTGTAATATTTTTGAAAAAAAAAAGGAATTTGAATAATAAAAAGCTATGATAGATTTCAAAAAAAAAACCACATCCTTAGGGTTTGTTTAGTGTTTGGGTTTTGGAGGGATTTTAATTTGGTTAAGTAGAATATTAGATATATGTTTTGCTTGTTTAGGAGTTTTTGCAGATCTTTCGCTGTTTTAAATTTTATTTCAGAAATTTTTTTTTTTGTTTGAATTCAAATATTTTTTTGTCACTTTTGTTTCTCTAACTCCGAATCTTTTTTTTTTTAAAAAAAATAATTATATATTAAAACTAAAATATTAAAACCTCTAATATATTTCTACCAATTAATAAAATACTAGTACTATTATTTCTTAATTTACTATAAAATATCAAAATGGGACTTCTTACATATTTTTATAAATAAATAAAATACTATTATTTTTTAAACTATTACAAAATATCCCTTTCAAATGGGACGGAGAGAGTATCAAATTAAATAATATTTGTAGGCATTAAAAATTGAATGTCTAAATTAAATTAAATATTATATATTTTGAAAGAAAATAAAATTTCAATAATATAAATATATGGTATTTAATTATGCACATGTTAATTTTTGTACAATAATTATCAATCATTAATGCAAAAATTTGCTTAAAATGGAAGATACCGTACAAATATTACGTGCATAAATAAAGTCATAATAAATTTGATAGCAAAATAAATCAATATTGTCAATAAATGAAGTATATAAATTAATATCTTTCGAAAAAAAATGATATAAAGATCTTGGCGAGGAAGGTGCACAATCAAATTCGTAAGAATGGAAAAGAACATACGATGGAAAAGGAAAGATTATAAAATCTTCATATTGGCTAATCAGGACACGCCACGTGGCACCATTCAAAAAGGAAGCCAAGGCCACCCCTCCCCTATAAATAGGAGTCATGGCCATTTCAGCCAAGGCCACCCCTCCCCTATAAATAGGAGTCATGGCCATTTCATTTGACACACCGAAGTTACCTCGATGATTCAAGCAAAGAGGTAAATCTCTAGACTCTCTTTGTATTGTTGTTCGTGTCCTTCGAAGCGTTCTTCGTCGAAAAGTCATCGATTTGGACAAATGATTCAATATTGGTTGACAAATGGATGAAGTTAACGTTCTTCGTCGTATGTCCGAGTCGGAGGAAGGATCAAAGCTCCCAAAGCCATTGGAGAATTCGTTAAAGCTAAGGAAGAGCCTCCCAAGTCCATCCCAAAGCTTCAAGGTGTTCATCGCGTTCTTCACCAAAGCATCAACTAAGCCTTCTTCGATCCAAAAGTCAAAGGGACACGCGCACCAAAAGTGTTATGGAACACCAAATCCACCTCTTCAAGGATCAAAGTTACAAAAGCCGTTAAAGAATCCATCAAAGCCAAGGAAGAGCATCTAAAGTTCAAGCTTCGAGGTGTTCATCGCGTTCTTCACCAAAACAACAACTCAACTCTTTTCGATCCAAAAGTAAAATGGACACGCCGCCAAAAGCGTTATGGAGCACCAAATTCACCTCCTTAAGATCAAAGCTTCGGATCGTCAAAATAAACATCAAATCCAAAGCCAACGATCAAATCGCCCACACGGAGACCAAAGCCCTCCGAACGGCGGCAAAGCTAAACAAAAGATCAAAGTCGCGGATCGTCCAAAGAAGACATCAAATTCAAAGCCAACGATCAAATCGCCCACACGGAGACCGAAGCTCTCCAAAAGGCGGAAAAAGAAAACTAAAGATCAAAGCTGCGGATCGTCCAAAGAAGACACCAAATCCAAAGCAGATGATCAAATTGCCCCAAAGCTTTCCAAAAGGCGGCAAAGCCAAACCAAAGATCAAAGCCGCGGATCGTCCAAAGAAGATATTAAATCCAAAGTCGATGATCAAATCGCCACATGGAGACCAAAGTCCTCCAAGAGCGGCAAAGCTAAAGTAAAGATCAAAGCTTCAGATCGTCTAAAGAAGACATCAAATCCAAAGGCGATGATCAAATTGCCTACACGGATACCAAAGCTCTCCAAAAACGAAAAAGCTGAATCAAACATCAAAGCCTCGGATCGTCCAAATAGGATATTAAATCCAAAACCAATGATCAAATCGCCCACATGAAGACCAAAACCCTCTAAAGTCCGGCAAAATCAAACCAAAGAACAAATCTTTTCGGATCAAAGAAGCCATCGAAAATCAAGTTGGAAAATAAATCGACCCGGAAGGAGAATCAAATGACCCATTTAAAGAATATGACCCGCTTTAAATTCAAATCAAATATAATTTGTACAAATTTTATGTTTATTAAAAATAACACAATTTTTTGTCCACAATATTCTTATTTTTTGTATTATAAGAAAAATATTTTTTTAATATAATATAAAAACATAAATAATATATATAATGTAATATTTTTAAAATAATAAAATACTAGTTAATAATGATATTAAAAATTACAATCAAACGCCCCATATATTTTAGATTGCATAATGAAGATGTTTAGAAGGCTAAACAAACACACCTTTTAGACTTTCTTAACGTGTGTTTGTTTGGTTTTAAATTATAATTGGGCCATGGTGGTTCCGGTAAAAATTAATTATTAATTATTAATAAAATATTATATTTAAATTATGCTAAATTGTATTATTTTGATTTAAAATGTTAAAAGAACAAACTTTACTTCATCAAATATTAAATTAAGTTTCTTTTATTGATAAGTTCTTCAATAAATTAAAACTGATAAATAAATTATTTGCCAAACAGTCTCCAAATTTAATGGAGTGTATTCATTTGATATTTTATTAAATTTTTTCAGATTTAAAAAAATTTATGAATTTATGTGGATTTATAAAATCACAAAGTCTATACGGAATTTTTATAAATTTATAGAATTTATATAAATTTAGTAATATTATAAAATATTTTTTTATTAATTTATATAAAACAAAAGTTTGATAAATATAATAAATTTATAATTAAAGTTATTATATGTTATTATATTTTTATAAAATAAAACAAAATAAATATTAATAAATAATATATAATTATTAATAATATAAAAATATTGTAACATATTCCACTGCGGAATTCAAAGTATACTATTTACTATTTTGGTCTATTCCATTCTGAAATATCAATTTTCTATTTTTAGTAAAAATTATCATAAATTAATAATAAAATATTTTTAATTTTTACCTAAAAATACCATTACATGTACAATTATTTATTTACAGGCAAAATGTCAAAATTTTTTACACAATTCCACTAACTAATAACATATTATTATTTTTTAATCTATTGCAAAATCACAAGTGGCCTATTTTGGACTTGGACTTTGTTACGGACAGGAGAAAGTACGTAATACTAGGATTGTGTATATCATTCAATTTTATAATTTTATTATATTATCATTCAATATATCAATTTATTATTATTATTATTATTATTATTATTATTATTATTATTATTATTATTATTTATATAACTTTTTAAATAAAAATAAAGATATAAATAAATCAATAATATAATTTACGATTTTTGAAAAAAAATCAAAAAATTTAAAAAAATATAATCCATCGTTTTAACAAAAAAATATAAATATCTAGTTCAGTTTAATAGAAATGACAATATAGGGTTTGTTCGTTTGTAGGTTTTTAACAAAATTCTACTATTTATCCAAAATTTTCCCCCCAAAAACATCAAATCAAACAACTATTTTTCATTTTTTATATTATACTAAAAATCAATTTTACATTCAAAACATCACATCATCACCTATTTATATCACATCATATAACTATTCAAATTCAAAATTTTTACTATTCAAATCTCAACTCAAAATCCAGACACCCAAACAAACACACCCATAATGTATTAAATAATTGACAATATATAATATTTTTCAAATATTATATTTATAATATGAAAATACATATTTTCAAAAAATTGATAATAATTAACTAGTATATTTTAGTTTTAAATTATTATTTTTATTAAAAAATTATAATAATATTAATAAATATTACTCAATCCGTCTTTTATCTATCTATCTATCCGTTTGCTTTAGTTTTAAAAATATTAGTAATATTGAGATGTAGTATGAATAAAATAGAGAAAACTAAAATAACCATGTGTGATATAAATTGCAATGACATTTGTGTAATATATTGTTAATTATAAGAGTATTTTTAATATTAGTAAAAAATACAATTACTAAAAAAATAAATATTTTGCTATGACACAGATCAAAATAAAAAAACACGTAAATTATTAAGAGACGAAAGATATTATTTAGTAATTGTACAATAACAAGAGGAATAATAATAATGATTTGTTAAAATTCAATAAAATTTATTGATTTTTAAAGTTAATGAATCATTGAGTACTTTATAAAATTTGCAATAAATATTTTTTAATTTTAAAAGAAAATAAAATAAAGTTAAATACAATTAAATTTTAAAAGTTCCTGCATCAAAACACACACTCCCCCGTTCCCTTTAAAGAATGTTCTGAAATTATTAGACCAAATCTTATTCTTAACCCTAAATTATACTACCTTGGCCTCGTAGGTCTCATTTATTTTTTATCGTTTTAATTTTTAAATATTAAATATTATATTAAAATAAAAAATAAAAAATTGATATAAATATTTTTATTAAAATTTATATTAATATAAAAATATTTTTAATATTAAATAAAATGAAAAATAAATGTGACAATGCAATATAATTTTATTATATATGTATATATATATAGCAGTAGTAGTATAAGTATATTTTACCATTCGTTCCATATCATATCCAATCGAGTCGAGTCGTGCTCCACTTCCAGATCCCTCTATCGTCTTCTTCCTTTCTTTCCATTTCCATTTCCATTTCCATTGATTCTCGTCTTCTCTCTTTCTTACTCTCTCTCTCTCTCTCTCTCTCTAACCTCCAAGTTTGAAATTACTTTCCTACCGTTGTCTTCTCTTCTTATCCTTCTCTGGCTTCCTGGTAGTTTTCTTCTCTGCTCTTAGACGTCGTACTCCAAGACAGGGAAGCTTCGTTGAGTCGTCGTCGTTTTGTTGTTTTCTTCTTTTTACAGTTGTGTGGGAGGCTTTGTAAGTTAATCTCTGCATTAATTTTGAATTATTTGCTGTTATCATTTTTTTCAATGCCGGATGCTATGCTATTTAGGGTTTGAATTGATTGCTGTTAGTTGCAATTAGTTGTGTTGGTTTTAGATTGATTTAAAGGGTTGAAGTCAATTAGTTTAATTTTTGTTGGCTCTTTGGGGATAGGTGGGTTACTTTCAGTTTCTTTTATTGGAATTTTTTAGGTGCGAAGTGGATTGGTTCTAATTTTATACATTTTTGTGTGATTGAAGTTATCTTTGTGAGTTTATCTTCATACAATTTTGTAAATTTAAGTGTATGAAATTAAGTTGTTATCTTTTCGAAATATTCAAATTTCATATTATTTGCAGATTGCAAAAAAAAAAAAAAAAAAAAAAAAAAAAAAATGTGAATAAAAAATGTAGTCATGGAAGATCAAATTGAAAGTTCTAAGGCTTCAAATTACAAAAGGATTGAAGTCCAAACATATGTTTGATTTATTATTATTATTATTATTATTATTATTATTATTATTATTATTATTATTATTATTTTACAAAAAATGGAGTTGGAAAATATGTGATTTGTGGATGCAATGATTGCCAGAGAATATATAAAGTAGGGAAAAAACATTTGGTACTTCTATGTTGAGGTGCCACATGGAAACTTGGATAATGCTGAAAGATCATGATATAGTCAAATGCTTGTTCATACTGATGGGAATTGAAAAATAAAAAGGTGAACACAAAGATTCCACTTACTTTCTAGCTCTTGCAGTTGTCAAACAGGATTTGCCATTTTCATTTATTGAATAGACGGTTCTGTGGTTTTTGAAGTAGACAACTCTCACACTTCCTCTTATACCTAGAAACTCTATTTTTTCTGTTATTAACAAGTAGAATTTCAAGGAAAAAGCTAAACTTAGGGAAGTTTTAGCTAATATTCTGCATAGAGTTTGCTAACTTCAGATTTATGGACTTACATGTACTGGTGAAGGCTTCATTTGTTGGATTGCTCATGTTGCGATGAAAATTGGAAATAATAAGATATTTATTTGATGCCCAGAATGCAGAGAAGCTGTTAAATTGATGTATCATATGCTATTCAACTACTTAGCATTCTCATTGTAGCCCTAGCTCTGCAATTATCATCGCTTCCATAAAGTCAGCCCTGCAAATTTGAGACATTTTGATGTAAATAAGAATTTGATTCGACAATGGATGGTGATATGAAGTATCTGTAATGTCTTATGGATGTTTATATTTAATCGCGATCTATTTGAGTTTGGTATGACCACCATACTTATTGACTTGCCTCTCTTCTTCATGGCTTTTGTTTGTTGTTTTTAACAACTTTCTTTTGTTGATGGATACTTTTCCTGCCTCTGTAAGTTATGCATATGTTTTTTTATGAGTTATTACCTTTGGGGGCTGTATGCAATAGTGGAAGCATATGCGTTCTTTATAGTTTTGTTTGTTTTGACTATTTGTTTAATTCTCCTATTCTATCCAGATTATAACCAGCAAGCTCTTTCTCATTTGAAGATATTTCTGACCCAGGAAGAAAGCGAAGCCACTGCTTGTTGACCAAAAGTCCTATTCATGACCTTTTGATATTTTCAAAATGTCAGGGCTGTTCAATGTATATTTCCCTTCTGTTTTGTTGCAATTTTACGTAGCCTTAAAGTAATATGCTGTTATACAGTTCTGATTTTAGGTGGAACTTGTCCATTTTCTATTTAGATGTTTTTATCGTATTCTTAATCTACTCTTGCCATTTTACTACTTTCTTATCTCCTTTACTTATATCCCATCTCTTTCCTGAGTTCTATGTTAAGTTTTACCTACCCGAAAGTTGGGGAGAATTATCTGTTTTGTTTAATATTAACTTTTAATTATTAATATGTGCTCATTTACTCTTTATTTGGAATTGGTGAGGCTATTACTAAGATATACTGATATATTACTCTAACTATTCACTAGTTGAATTGCTTTCTAAATATGTTACAACAGATGCTAAAATTTTTGCTGTGGACTTAGTAAAATTACTAAAATATGCGGGCTACTTTGATAAGTACAAAGTTTTTTCCTTTTTATTTTTTCTTTTTTAATGAGAGTTGAACAATATGGTACCTGATTTATTTATCAGTGTCGTATTAATTCAAACCTACTATATATGTGTGCGTGCATGCATGCATGCATGTGCTTATAATCTTATGTCGGGCAATTATGCTTCTCACTTTATCAAGGCATGCACTATGCCAGGCATCATACTAAACAACATTGCAATGAAGTTTTGTAGACTAAGTTATCTCATGCTGAAGGCAATTTTTAGCTACAAGTTTTGATTGATTGCATTAGGCTATTTGTTCTGCAGACATCACTTAATGGATCAACATCGAGTCTCGCTGACAGTACAGGACGTGCTTTCTCTCCATCCTTTTCTGCTCAGTCTGGTAATGGATCTGCAGTTTTTCATCATACTGGTGAGTTGATTTTTAGAATTGTTTTATCTGTTTTCTCCAAATTCTGTTTAGTAATAGCCTTTCAATTGCAGGAAATGTGCCTCAGGGGCTGCATAATATTCATGGAAGTTTCAATGTTCCAAACATGCCATCTGCACTTGGATCAAGGAGTACAACTATAAATAACATACCTTCTAGCGGTATGCAACAAGCTGCTGCCAATCTCTCTAGTGGGCGATTTGCATCAAATAATGTTCCAGTGGCTCTTTCTCAGGTGACATGTTATCTCTTAAAAGAATTGTACATGTGATGCTTGAGTTTTTGGGATGCCAATTATGTATTGGAAGACACACAGGTTAGGAACCCTGAAACTATTTTAAATGAATGTTTTGGGGTTCCTTTTGTTATTGTTTTATATTAAATTGATGGTTTGAACCTTCTTTCAGCATCTATTATCTTTTGATGCTGTGGATTATATTGTTACTTTGGCTGACCTTTTGTAAAATATCTCTGCAGATATCTCACAGTGGTGGACATGTTCATTCAGGGTTGACAGGCCGAGGTGGTATGAGTGTTGTTGGAAACCAAGGGTACGGCAGTAACAACAATGGAGTTGGTGGTTCTATCCCTGGTATTCTTCCTAGCTCTGCTGCAATTGGTAATCGAACATCTGTACCTGGTTTGGGTGTCTCTCCTGTTCTAGGAAATACTGTGCCACGTATTTCAGGTTCGGTGAGTAGTATAGCTGGTGGTGGAAACATTGGCAGAAATATTAGCTCAGGTGGCCTATCTGTGCCTGGCCTTGCTTCTCGCATAAATTTAACTGCTAACAGCGGCTCTGGAAATATAAATGTGCAAGGACAAAATAGGCTAATGGGTGGGGTGCTGCAACAAGGTAATTTACAGACTCAATTTAGCTGTAGCCCTGGAAGTCTTTCCAAGTTTGCTCTGTTTTAGTTGGAAAGCTTTCTTGTTTATGTTCTGATATTCTACCACTGGTGGTCGATAGTGGTGCTCGACAAAAGTAGTGTTTTTATCTATTTTATTAGATTGCGACTATGGTTATATGAATGCTTCTGGTTGTTCTATGGTGATTTCAGTATGGGATAGATGCATTATGTGTACATATAGTGTAATAATGGTTTATCATCTGGATAAGGATTGGTCTGGAACTGTTATTTGATCTATAGAAATCTGCTGACTGAATGTTGAGTGCATTTAGGAGGTGTGAACCGTTATAAGATCCCGACAAATATTTTCATTTATGTGATCTCTTCTCCCTCTTGTGGTTCGCTATTACAATCTCAATATTTAGTGGGTCTTAAATTGATTGGTCTAAGGTTACTAACGTCCCTGACTCCCTGGATATATTTGTTCTCTCAAAAGATGATTTATTATTCCATCTTTTAGGTCTAATATTCATGGTTTGCACATATTTGTCGATTTGGTTCTTAACAAGCATATGCTTATTTTTGTTTATATCACCCCCCCCCCCCCCCACCCACCCAAATCTCTGGATTGTCTATTTTTCTCACGCAATTTTTCATTTTATTTTGACTGGAACTTCTCATTTAAGCACAAAGAGGCTTCTCTTTTGATTTCTTTCTGATAACAAACTTGTAGTCATTAAGGATTATGTTATCTGTTTCACTTATTCTAAATTTTTTCCTGACACAACCAACTCCTTATGATTCAAACGGACCGTTTTTTTACTTATTTAAATCTAGGCTGGAGACTTCAGTCCTTTATGATCCAAAGAGATTGAACTTTGTGACAATCAATACACATGGTTTCTGTTGAACCACTTTTGACTTGCAATGCTATCCTGTTCCATTTTTTGCAAATGATTGCTGAACCAATTTAAAATTATAAAACCATTATGTTTCATGTTTCGCACATGGATACTAAGTCCTTTGACAGTATTGATGTACTTATATTGAAAAGTGATCATGCTACATTTTCTTTTATCAAGTAATTTTAACAAATATTTCTATGATATTTTTGTGCTTATGGTGCTTGGTTATTTAAAAATTTTAATTATATATATGACCTAGGTAATTGGCTTTGCCTAGAACTTTGTTCTAGACTATCATTAAGTTTTTATAGTGATAAAGAAGCTTCTGTTATTCAGCTTCTCCACAGGTTTTATCAATGTTAGGTGCCAACTACCCATCTGCTGGTGGTCCGTTTTCTCAAAGCCATGTTCAACCTATGAATAACCTTACTAGCATGAGCATGTTGAATGACGGGAATCCCAATGATGGTACCCCTTTTGATATCAATGATTTTCCTCAATTGACCAGTCGTCCCAGTTCTTCTGGAGGTCCTCAAGGACAATTGGGTAGCTAGCTAGAATTCTCTTTCATTTTTCTTTTTATTTTCCTGCAAACCTCTTCTGTAACATAATTCTGCAATTTTAGGTTCATTACGAAAACAAGGTCTTAGTCCTATCGTTCAACAAAATCAAGAATTCAGCATTCAAAATGAAGATTTTCCAGCTTTACCTGGATTTAAAGGTACCTTTATCTATTATAATAAGTTTGATGTGGTTTCTTATGCTATTCCAAATTATACAGTTTGTCTTAAGTTACAAAATGTATTAGGTTGAAGTTGAGATGCTCATCGTTTGATGTGCCTCATAAACCTTATTTAAATATTCATGTGTGAATGCAACTCATTGTTCCCATCAATATACTGCATACTTGACTTGTGCTTGGTTCTCCTTGAACTAGGTTAGTCTGAGATTCTCTTAATCCATACTGCCTTTCACTCTGGAGAATATAAGGCTGTCCTTTTATTCTGTAATCGACAGGCCATACTAAGCATTTTCCTTACTGCATGCTCCATCATGGTCTGATGATCTCCATAACCATGTGTCATTATGACGTTGACCCTAGTCTTCTGGGCGGAGGGCATGCTGAAATGATGTTGCAAGACAAGATCATCATATCATCATGTGTAGATAACTGAGTTTATAATTATATTTTTGCCATTCTGTTGTGTATACATATATTTAATTGATGAGGAAGAGTATGTAGTATCGTTAATAGACCTTTGGTGGGGCTATTATCTTTTCCTTTTAGCTCTATGCGTTTGTGTGTGCTTGATGAGATTTCTTTTCTGTTTATCAGTTATTCATTTATTATGTGAAAGATTTCTTTTTTATTTTTCCTGTTTTCATCTAGTCATTGCTATGTGGTTAGTTTTGACTGGTTCAAATTCATTTTCCCTTTTCAATGTTAGGGATTGGAAATTTGTTAACAATCTTGTATATCTGCAAATATTATTTGGTTTATTACTCATGCGTCTGTTTTAGGAAGGACAGCGTGGTTGATGGAGTTCATATATCCCTTCTGTTGTCCTTTTCAGTTAGAACCTCTTCTCAGGGACTTCAAGTATCTATACGCCCTGTTATTGTCTTTTTGAGCATTAATTTTGTTTCAGGTGGCAATACTGATTATTCTATGGATCTTCATCAGAAAGAACAGCTTCATGACACCTCTGTCTCTGTGATGCAGCCTCAACATTTTTCTGTAAGGATTCAAAGTTGAAGTTGGTACCATAATAGCTCTGCTAGTTTTTCTTAGATTCACTTATTTGAAAATGCAGATAGGCCGTTCTTCCGGTTTCAATCTGGGGACAACATACTCATCTCATCGGCCACAGCAACAGCAACATGTTCCAGCTGTAAGTGGCAGTGGTGGACCCTTTACAAATGTAAATAGCCAAGATCTCCTCCACTTACATGGCGCTGAGATGTTCCCTTCATCTCTTTCAAATTATCATTCACAGGTGTGGTTCAACCGAGTTCTTATTCTGTCTCATTTTATCATTATTACCAGTCCTAAGACAAGTTACTTTGTGCTAGATTGATTGGGTCGTGTGGTTAGAAAAATGAATTCATCCATGTTATATTAGGTTTGAATTACTATGGGTCCAGAAAGGCTAATATTGGGTGTCTAAATCAAAGAAAGATCAATTTTAATAATATATGTATCTTTAATTTCTTGTTGATATGCTTTAACAATTGACTTGTGTACTACCTGAATGTGTAGCATAACCCAATATCTTTGGGGCTTTGAAGCTAGTCCAAACTCGTCTAATCTTTGATCTAATTTCTTGAAGAGAATACTATATACTTCCTTGTATTGGTAATCTTGTCCAAGGTGGCTCCATTCTCATGCAACCTACTTTGTTGAATCTACTGGAATCTAGCTTATAAATTTAATTAACATATGACTCATTGAATATAAAAGCCTACAGAAGAATATTGTACTGCTTTCCCATTTATTGTATCTATCTTTTGTTTGAGCTTCTGTTTTATTCATTCCATTTTCTTGCTCTTCGGTGTTCAGGAATTATTGACTTTCCTGTCTTGTAAGTTATTATAAAGCAGGCTGAAACTGTATAGGACTTTGCTTTCTCATAGAGAGAATACAATATCAAATGTAGAAACAAAATCAATTCTAACTATAATTTTAAGCATATAATAATTCTAAATATAATATGCACTTCAATTTCTGAAGATGTAGGAACAGACTAGAGAGAATCCTTTATAATACTTCCCCGTAAGTTGAATATGGATAAGCAGACAATGTTCAACTTGAATAATGATTCCATATGTGGTAAAGACTCCTTAGGGAAAATGTCATCATGTACAGCATGTCAGCTATCTTCATCTGCATTTGGCTTGACTGTACCATAACATGAGCCATGGGTGGCTTGCCGCATCTTTTCTTCAGTTACACTGGGCAACTTGCTTTTATTTTGCATGTTGTGGGCACTTCTGAACTTTGTGTTGTGATTGACAATGGTGGGAAGTTAAAGTTCCTCTTGAAGGAGTTAAAGGTCTATATATTATTTTTTAACTTATGCATTGGAACTGACACCTGAAAGATGCTTGATTTGATTTCAATTTTCAATACGCACATTTACATTCAACATGTGAAAGCATTGTGTATTATAGCAATTTGTAATGCCTGTTGTTTGTATGTCGTCATTCTGGATGATCCAGAGTAGTGGAGCCCCAGGAATCGGATTGAGGCCTCTGAATTCTCCAAGTTCAGTATCTGGCGTAGGCCCATACGATCAGGTTCTACAGCAATATCAACAGCATCAGAGTCAACCCCAATTTCGCCTTCAACAAAATTTGTCTGCTGGTGGTCAGCCTTTCAGGGATCAAGGGATGAAGCCTGTGCAGTCTGCCCAGGCACCTTCCGATCCATTTGGTTTACGTGGTTTGTTAAGTGTTATAAGAATGAGTGATCCAGATTTAACATCTCTTGCACTTGGAATTGATCTAACTACACTAGGATTGAACTTGAATTCGACTGAAAATCTCCACAAAACTTTTGCTTCTCCTTGGTCAGAGGAGCCTGCCAAGGGTGACCCAGAGTTTAAAGTGCCACAATGTTATTATGCCAAACAACCTCCGCCATTAAGTGTGAGTTTTCTTACTATCCTTGTTATCTGTTACTTTGCTTCTTAGCCAGTTTCACGTTGCTGAATTATGATCGCTTATTTGCAGCAAGCATACTTCTCAAAGTTCCAACTAGACACATTATTTTATATTTTCTACAGGTAAGGCTGCTTTTTTTTTTTTTTTTTTTTTTTTTAACTTCAATTGTTACCTTTGATATTGCTTAAAAAACAACGTATGTACTCTCTTACTGAATTTATGCAGTATGCCGAGGGATGAAGCTCAATTATATGCTGCAAATGAATTGTATGTACCCTTCTGCTATGATATATTCTTTTTTCTATACTGCTTGTGGAGAATTATCCCGTAGATAATGAATTGTTTGTACCCTTCTGCTACATTTCATGCTGGTATCTTTGTGGTACATTTTAATGCGCGCTGGTTAGTGTTTGCTTCGACTTTCACGGTTGATAATGATCTTGTTTGCAACAGGTGACATTTATTAAGCTTCCTACATTGCTATTTTCAGGTATAATAGGGGTTGGTTCTATCATAGAGAGCACCGGTTTTGGCTTATGAGAGTGACTAACATAGAGCCTCTTGTTAAGACAAATACATATGAGAGGGGTTCCTATATTTGTTTTGATCCAAACACGTGGGAAACAATTCGTAAGGTTGGTTTTTCGGTTTGAAATTTGTTATATTTATTTTTCAGCTATATCTTTAGTTAGTCGATTAATGGACTTTACAAACTTATGCAGGATAATTTTGTCCTTCATTATGACATGTTGGAAAAGAGACCAACTCTACCTCAACATTAATTAGCATGCTAGTGTGTATATGTTCAGTTTACTTTGTTTTTTTTAGGCAGAAGAAACCATTGTCCTTGTTGTTAGCTGTTGTAGACTTGACTTGTAGTCATCTATGTATCATCTCTGTGAAAGTAGACATTGCAGAACTAATTGAAACAGCTTCATTGCTGTTTCATTTTCCGTTTGAGTCATGCAGTTTCGTTTCAATCTTTATATTATGCCTCTCAAGAATTTATTGATTTTCTTGATCCTCTACTAGTATGTATGGTTACCGGTGCAGTTACAGTGCTGATTTTTTCAGACAACAACTCTCCACAAAGTACTGTGCAATGGGGGACAGGTAGAGTGCTGAATTGGAAAAATCGGCACTGTGTTGATTTTTCAAATCAGCACTATTAATGTATACAAACATCAGTGTCTTATTATATACATGCTGTATATAATAAAGACCGGTACGGTTGGTTCATAATTATAAGTGTGTTGTATAACAGTATGTGGTGTGTTGAAATCAACTATTATTTGTATTGCATTAGACTATAGCATGAGCTATTAATTCCTGTGGTGTTGGTTCATAATTACAAGTGTATTGTATAACAGTATGTGGTGTACTGAAATCAACAATTGCTTGTACTGTATAAGATTGTTAGTTTATGTTTGTATTTGTACTATATAAATGCATACAGTGTGTTGCCGGTAGTAATACCGTATGCTGCAGGATGCTATCAGTACAGCGCTGAATTTTAAAATTCAGCACATGTCATTCTTCAATAGTTTAAAGTAGTATGCACTGTATTTAAAATGTATGTTTTTGAACTCTCGAGGTTTATAGATTTTTGAATTGATACTATTTGAATAACTAACAATACAGTATAGTATCGAGCATAATATATACTACATAAAGCATTATGAAGTGCTTGTACTTTTGGGAAATCAAACATAATGTTATTTCTCAAATCAGCACAATAACAAAATCGTTGCTTACGGTTGCTAATTGTCGTGTCGTAATCTTTACAATTTAATATGTTCACTCCTTTCTTAGGATTCATGAGCTTCAACCTAAATATTAGTAATTGGAAAAACGTTTTTGACTTGGCTATTTAATTATCATCTGTGCTTTAATTAATTAATCAAATGGCGTACATTTTCTTAGTGTCCAAATCTTCAGGATCATCCGAGTTAAAGGACACGGCCGTAGATCGGCTGCCGTCGGAGTTCCGCCGGAGCATCGTCCGGCGGCTGCTCCTCAGGTGGATCCGATGCATAACCACCCAGTAACACATGGTGCTGAGCGTCGTCGTCAGTATGGCCGTCCCGATTATCGTCACTCCGATGGCCAGCCACCGCTCGTTGCCGCTGCCGTGCCCGACCACGATGAACGACAGCGCCAGGTACGCCACCGATATGAGCACGCACGCCACCCACATCAGCTTGTTGATCACCGCCATCATCCGCTTCTTCGCCTTGCACTCGATCACCACCACCGACGTCTGCACCACCACCACCGCCAGCGAGATGAACAGCGCCACCGAGTCGAAGACGAAGAAGATGAGGAACGGTGTCTGCCCCGCAATGTTCGCCATCCCGAGCGACAACGACGACGGCGATGACGGAAGCTCCTCCACAAATTGACCCGGCACCGTGAAGATCGCCGCGAACGCCACCGTCGCGATCAGCACTGCCACCACCGTCGTCGAGTTGATTGCGTTGTTCAGCCCCTCTGCGTGCATCTTGTTTATCCGCTTCACGATCCCCCGCACGCGCCGCCGCGTCCGCCGCGTATGCTCCAGCTGGTAATGCACCTCGTGCTTTATGTCGCTCACCGTCTGCTTCAGCTCCCGCGCCGTCCCCGGAATATTCTCCGACGACTCTGGGTTGATCATCCGCGCACTCACCACCCCCCACTCCCGCAGCACCGCCGCAATCCCGACATGCCCCATCTTCTCCGCCGTGTCCACCGCCGTCTCGTTCGATCGATTCACCGCCCCCGTCTCCGTCTCCTTCCGACTCAGCAGCCTCTCGACGATCTACAATCGTGCTAAACCCGATAAATTTTTCGCCGTATTCCAAAGCTTATAAACACATACATTACCGGAGCCCGGCCTTTTCGGGTGGCGATATGCAACGGCGTGTTGCCCTTAGTGTCGACCATGCTAACCGTCGACGGATCCGCCCCAATTAGCGCCTCGACGACGTCGAGATTCTGGCCTTTAACGGCCATATGCAGCGCCGTCTGCCCCTTTTTATCGGTCCGGGTCGTGAGGCCGCGCGCTTTGCTCAAAAGTGCCGCGACTACGGCGACGTGCCCGTTCCTCGCCGCGGAATGGAGCGCAGTTTTTCCGTTGCTTCGAGCGATATTAGCGAGGCTGCTCTCGATTCCCAAAAAATATTCTACGACGTCAATCCGGCCTTGCATTGCCGCCGTGTGCAGCGCCGTCGTGTTCGCCGTGTCCACCGTCATCAGAAGCTCCGGATGCGCGTCGAGCAGCGCCTTCACGACTTCTACGAACAGCGCGCAACCAAACCAACATCGATAAAAGAAAAAAAGAACGGATCGAAGAACACGAAGAATCGTATATACCTAAGTCGCCTTGCTTCGCGGCGATATGCAGTGCGTCGAACCCGTTCTTGGCTTTGATTCCGGCAGCCGCCAAATCGTACTGTTTGATCAAATCCCGAACGAGTTCGTAGTAGCCGTACTCGGCAGCCACAAACAATGGCGTCTCGCCAGCTGAGTTCTGCTTCGACAGCAGCCGGACTAACTCGTCGCCGCCTCCGGAATTATCGATGATCTCCATAATGGCGGCGATGTTACCTAACCGAGCTGCGGAATGCAGCACGGTGTCGTCCCGTTTCCCGGTCAGCTGCTTCGTCATCTTCGTCCGCGGCGTCAACGCCAACGCCGACGGGCCCTCCATTTTTACCACTCTCTCCTTAGATGGCTTAGCAAATTACAAAAATACCATTCTAAAGATCAAACCTGCTTCATCCATGATTATAACCAAGAACATTGTCAATTATTGAAATCCAATTCAAAGTCCCTACCAAACTAAGCAAGATTCAACCATGTCACACATATGTATATACATATATATTCCTATATGTATGTATTTATGAATGTGAAGGTCAGATTGAATAGCTTGGTTGTGAAGAAACAGGGAACTTTAGGGCAATAAAAATTTGAAGAACAAACAAAATATGATATATTATAATTTGTATGAAGCAAAAGGAAACTGTCCAACAAAAATAAATAAAATAAAAAGGATGAAAGGGGAGAATCAGAGTTCTGGCATTTCATTTTTTATTTTTTAGTTTGCAGATAAAAGTGAGGGGAAAAAGAAAAAGGGTTCCAATGGTAGAGAGAGAGAGAGAGAGGCTAAGATAATGGAGCCATCAATGGCACATGTCTGCAACAACAAGAACACTAATTAACATCAATGTATTATACTATGTCCGTCCGTTTATAAGGATCTTATTTATTTTATGCGTGCTGATATTCAAATATTAATTATTATATCAAAATACAGTAGCAACAATATTTTAATTAGTGTTTTACAATACTAATATAATGACATTTGTAAAAGAAATTATATAAATATATAAATATTTTTAATGTTAAATACAATGACGCAAAAGATAAATATGACCTTAAAAACGGACGAAGAGAATATATATATGTGCGTATGTATAAAGTGAGAGAATGAGGTAGAATAAGAGAGATCTAATTAGGAGACAAGGTGACATAACAATAATGGCCCTTTAGTTTTGAAATATATATAAATGTTTGATGATGATTATGATGATGGGGTGGCTGATTCTGATTTTGATTCTCATATTAGGAATTAGAAAGTCCCATTCCATGAATGCAAACATTGATCACATCTTAGCATTGTATAGAAGTATTATCCTGTATAAATATATTTATTACGTTGAAATCAATAATATATTGTGTTATGTAAAATTATATCATATACTATAATGTCTATCAGGTATGTGTTGTTTGTCTTGATTATATGTGTTGACTCAATTCCGAAGTTTCATATAATAATTTGAATACATTTGCTACATTGGAGTTTTCTTTTTGTTCTAAATCAAATGTTTTTTTCTTTCTTTTTTTTTTTTAAAAAAAAATTACTTATAAAATTACGATAATTACATGGTTTAAAAAAATTTGAAATCAAACTAACAAAAAGAAAAAAATACATTTGTATATATTTACGATGTTAATATATATTATTTTGGTATGATGCATATACAAGAAAAAATCATTTTTGTAACAAAATATTTTTTTATCTCTAAATCTATTTTTTTCATTACTAATGACATTAGAGACGGAAATAGGAATGAAATTACGTTAGCTACGTGAACTTTAGGGATGGAATTCCGTTACAAATACTACAAAAAAATATCAATTTTGTAACAAGATTTTTTCGTCGTTAAATTCAATTTTTCCGTTACTAATGATATTAGAGACGGAATTTGAGATGAAATTACGTTAGCTACGTGAACTTTAATAACGGAATTCCGTTACAAATATACTATTTTTTTTAGTGAAATATATTATTTTTTTTAGTGATATATTGAATTATATTATTGAAATAGGATAATGAGTATACTAAAAAATAATCCGATATTCAAATAACCATATTATTGAAAAATATCATTATTGTTTTTATATTTAATCTTGTGAAAATATTAGCCAAGAGTAAACTACAAAATTTTTGTATTATTAAAACATATAATATAAATAATGTCAACCTTATGAAGTATAGGGGTGAAGACTTTAGTCATGTACTATTAATTCCTATTGTACACCTTCTAGCGAGTTTATAATTGTAATGAAATGAAATATTATTCTCTACGAAACATTGCTTTCTCCATTAATTGATGAATTATTGTGTATATATATACTTATTTTTCTTAAATTAGGTCTAATAAGTTTGATAACTCAATGTAATTATTTATTTTTAATATTATAAAATGCATTAATTTAGTAATATATAATTTAAAATTTAAAAGAGTTTGGAATGATCGATGGCCAATGTTGATTGATTGGATCCACTAATATACACATTAGTATTTTTTATATGATTTGAATTAAGCTCGTAGTAAATATTAAATTTTTGAATTAAAATAATATATAATATAATATAAATAAATATTTGATGCTATATTTTGAATGAAAAATTTAATTTTTGTTTGATATATGATATAGAAAATATATATTTGATTTAAAAACAAAACGGTGTCTTAAGCGACCAAAGAGAAGTCTAAGCAGCTTGCCCAAAGAGTTTGGTTGGCAATGATAATGCGGATACAATACTGATGTCAGTTATTTTATTATTATTGGATTTATTTAAAGATGATAAATGTTGTATTGAACAATTTGTAAGAAGTATTGTGTGCGGGTGCACTCAAGAATGTTTATACAATATTGAATGAAGTGTGAAATAACAAATAAACTGTATAAAACAACGCAATAATTAAATTGTGAATCAGTTTCTCCTTTTTTTTTTTTTTTTCATAACTAAAAGAAGATTGCATTCCATAATATGACTGTTTTGGAAAAAATTACGTATTTTTTCAGAAAATATTGTGTTGCCTTTTAATTATTATTTTATTTTTTTCATATTAGGAATTAAATTATTTATTTTCTACAATTTAACCTTCAAAATTTAAATTTAATTAAATATTCAATTTTGAATTAATAACTTTAATGAAGAAGAATTTCTTTAATTTAAAATTAAAATTTTGTTCTTAAAAATAAAAAAAGATTATATATATTGGATTTATAGTTAAACTAAAATTTTCTCAAAAAAGACTTCCCATCTATATGTTACTGTTATCTTTAGGGAAAGACAGAGGGTGAAATATGTATTAAAAAGAGAAAACACAAAGAGTGACGTAAAGTCATACATTTTGTGTAAAATGTATAGAAATACTCCCATAATATATTTTCTACAGAATTCTAGAAAATATATTTTTTCATACACAAATAATCCCTCAATCTCTTACTTGTTCGCATTTTCTCCTAAATTTTCAGTACTATTATGTTTGATCCTCGTACGAATTTCGTGTAACCCGAAACATAAAATATGATCAAAATATCGTATAAGAAAAACGAATTTACATGATTCAAAGTATATCCAAAATTATTTGTATCATGCAACATATTCCATGTACGATTTCTCCAACAATCGTATACAATATTTTCAAACAGATTATGAATAACTGAAACACATTATTAAATGAAACCATTAAGGAAAAATTGATACTACCCATTATGGTTCATTGTGACCATAAGGCTATTATGCCTAAAGCTTTATATTGAGAAATATAACTGAAATATCTATATGTGCTTGTGAGACACAATATGATACAAGAGTCTATACAAATGGGGTAATTATTGTCGGCCATATTTGGTCGCAGTATAATACGATCAATATTATAACTAAAGATTGACTAGATACTTAGTGCATAAGTCGTCAATCAGGATGGGATTAAAGTCCACCTAATTCCACTTTAGGTAAGACACCAATTCCCTTATAGAAAAATGCAAGAAGCTAAATTTAATGCGGAAAACTAAGGTGTAGTAGATTGAAACGTATGCATTTACATTCCAAGGTAAGTGGTTAAATTTTATCTTTCAATAATTGCTTTGAAAAATCATTGTGCATGGGCGAGACAAAAGAAATTACTTACACAAAGATAAAGTAGATATTGTATTTGTTGATGATTTTTTTTCTTCTTTTTTTGAATAATATAAAGAACAAAAAGAAGACCTTGGATCATATAGGGAATTTATAAGTTTTCCTTTGCGTTCTGCAAAATATTCTAGGTACACAAAGTATAATATATGCTTGGCATGACAATTTTATTTTTATTATTATTACTGATGCCATCGTCAAGTCTTGATATGTGAATATAATTCTTGGTTCTCGTCTATTCATGCATTTTAATATTGTACATAACCAATAGAAAAATTTCTTAGTTTCTCACATAAAGTGTTTTTCCAAAAACACATTTTTGCCTATGGTGGTTGAAACTAACAAATACTCCTACAAAACATGAAAATTTAATTAGTTATGTATTTTTTGTCTTTTTATTAATCACGAAATTTGATCTTAGAATGCATTGATCTTCATTTTTAGTTGTGCTGAATTATTAGTACACGAAGAAAAAACAAGTAACAACTGTAAACTAACATATCAAGTGCTTTTTCTTACAAAAAGTTTGGAAGTTCTTGTTTGTTTGATACGTGGTATCAAATGCTATAGAATCTCGAAATAATGAGCAATCTATTTTCATTTGATTATCAAAAAAAAAAAAAAAAATTCCTATCTTGTCATATATGTATCAACCACAATCTCATAGGAGAAGTATGGACTGTCTTTTGATCGTTGATTGAACTATTTCAGTAATGCACATGTTGTTATTTTTTATTTTTTATTTTTTTACAGAGCAATATCTCTTTGATGCTATCCCGTCTACTATTGTCTGTAGATAAATATATAAATAACGTATTATAACAACTTAAATTTTTAGGTAAGACGGTTATTTACATCATCTAAATCCCACCGTCTCCCATTTGTCGAACATTGTGCAGTGCGGGCATGATTGTAATACAAGCAATAAGCATCCTTAGGTGTATGAAACACCATGTCGATCTGTTGTATTTCTCGTAGCTATAAATTTTTAGAGAAGAACCAAAAATATAAAAATATTTTTTGTGATGACTTATAATTGAATGTGTTCTTGTTAATTGTTATTCAGTTAGATATTGTTGTGTCTATGTTTATATATATTTTTAATTTCTATGTCCCTGTCACTTTGGTGCATACATTATTTATTTATTTATTAAAATAGATTTTTATCTAAAGGGAAATGTTCTTTATTTAAGACATAGTATATATGATATGCTAACTGTACTCAAAACAATAATATTGAAACAAAAGTAATAGTATATTATTATTATATTTAACAACTATTTCATTCATTAATCAAATTAAAATTAAAAACATAAATCAAAATAAAATAATCCATAGAATGTAAAATATCCGTTATAACAATGACATAGTAACCATTTATTGGAACGAAAAATTCTGTAAAAATGTCATCCTAATTTCAATTAATTTAAATAAAAAAAATTTGTCACAAAGAATTCGGGACAATAGTGGATAGGAATGATGCTATCTCCAACCCTATATATGCATGTTCATATATATATATATATATCTATGCACATGTTTATATATATAATGCTCTCTACATTGTCAACTTTCGTATTATATATATATATATATATGTATATACTCAAAGCTAAGTAACATTACAACCATATGAGGTATTTAAAAAAATCTATTATTGATAGCTAGACTAATAATTGTAGGAAGAAAAATGTACAACAATTTAAAATAATGGATATAGAAAACATAATCTATAAACTTTAT